TGGGCTCAAGTATAGCAGGGATTGTGGGGCTGGCGCGGGATCGGGCAGTGTTTCGTTCTGCTGTGCATGGGGTCACTATGAGTCGGAAACGACTCGATGGCACTTAACAACAACAACAAGCCGCTCCGTAGAAGGAAGATGGGGCTATCTACTTCCATAAAGATTTAAAGCCTCGGAAACCCATTGGGGGTCACTATGAGTTGGAATCGACTCAATGACAATGAGCTTTTTTTATATGTATGTATGAGTGCATATATACGTATGTATACATATATATATATGTATGTATGTATATATACACATACATACATCATATATCTTTCCCTTTCCAAAGGGAAAGGAAAATGACATATATACATACATACATATATGTACATCAACAAACAGTTGCTGGCTTATTGCCTTAGTTGTTTCTACAGCAGACCCCAGGTGGCTGGTGGGTTTGAACCACCAGGTTCTGGTTAGCAGTCCAAATGCCTTAGGCACTATGCCACCAGAGCTCCCAAGTATGAACTAGGGACTGTAGAAATACTGCAGATGATTTCTCTACCACCACCACCACCCCCACACACACCCAGGACAAATAGAAGGACTTGTCTCAGGCCCAGGTTCCAGTTAGGCCCATTCTTCCTTTAAAAGAAAAGATATATCCTTGAAGGTAAATAGAGAACATTCTTTCTTTTAGTGTACAGGGCAAAAGAATACTCTTCTTAGAGGACCTTTTTCTGTAAGGTTGTGACCAGTAATCATCCTGGCATTGGTTTCCTAGCTTTTCCAGCTGTGTGTAATTTGATTTCCAAATTATCTAACGCTTCTCTGGTACCATAGTAGAAATAGTGATTGTTACAGCACAACTGAGCTAGTTGGTAAATTTGCTGATACTTCACTGTGTCATTTCTTTCTCTATCCTAACCTCCTTTCAGGAGCTCTGGTAGCATAGTGGCGAAAGCACTTGACTGCTAACCAGAAGGCTGGCGGTTCAAACCCACCAGCCACTCTCAGAAGGAAGGTTGGGCAATCCTACTTCCGTAGTGATACTGCCTCGGAAACCCAAGGAGGGGTCGCTATGAGTCGGGGCCAACTCGACGGCACATAACAACAACAACAACCTTCTTTCACAGTCTGCATCTTTTTAGGGTTTCAAGTGAGGGGAGAAAATCAGCCACCAAACAGATGTGCTTTTTTGAGGGCTGTTGGTGCT